ACAGGACCAAAAAAATTAAAAAATAAATAAAAATTTTTTGAAAAGAAAAAAAATGGAAATAGAAAGAAGTAGTCAATGCTCTAATTAGCTTCATCTCCTTTTTTCCAATTGTTTGTACTTTTTCTTTTCTTAAGTTCTTACACATTGCTCCAGTTTTTTCTTCTTTCAATATCTGGTAATATGAATAGTTGGTTGTAAGACAATACCAAGTATTACAACAAATACTGTGAAATTCATTATTACTTTGTTAAGTAAAATTCTGTATGAGTTGTCAAAAAAATAATAAAAATAAATAAATAAACTGCATTGTTACTATTGCTTACAGCAATAAAATTCTTTGTATAAGGAAATTTCTTGTTATTACACTACTGATTCCATATTCTTTCATTAAAAATGTTCAGAAGTATAGCTCAGTGGCAGAGTGCATACAAGGCCCAGCGTGCAATCCCAGACACCTCCCTCCCAAAACAAAAAAAAAAATTACTGAAAAGAGTGATGACATGTCACTTTTGCAAAAATCAAATATACTTCTTGCAAGTTCTCATAGGGATAAAATCTAAAATTAACAGCAAGAACATAATCGCAATTCTTTCTTTTAGCATTTCATTTACTTATTATTTATTAATGTTTGGTGATGGGGATTGAACCCTGGGCCTCTAGAATGCTCTAAGCCTGAGCCCCCTGCCCGCTTAGTCCTTTTATTCTTTCAAATTGATATATGTTCACTCTTATTTATATTAAGTGCAGGGTTTGTCTACCTCCCTTGTTACAATGTGAGTTTAGGGAGCAAATATTTTGTTTAAAAGTGGAATTGAGTGAAAAACTAAATAGATTGAGCTATTGTGTGTCTCAGCCAATTATACCTTAAACAGGTCTGAGGAGATATTTTCTTTCCAAAAAGTATAAACCTAACTACGCCCCAAACAAAAGTGTTTTATCTCATTTCTATTCACCTGTCTTGCTGAAAATCTATGGAGAAGAGACAAAATATTCAACCTCTTTTAGGAATTCTATGCACTTAAAATTGAGATAAATATATATTGATAACTTCTAAAACTGAAAGTACTTTAGATAGTGAAATAAAAACACAGCCCCAGTAACTTCATTCTCAAATGTACTGTAGTAGCAACATACAGATATGAAATGTGTGCTAAGTTATCATAGAAATAATTGCTGTAATGTGCCATCTACTTTTATAATATTAAAACCTATAATTATAAGATGAAGTACAAAGTTGTTATTCCTTTGTAAAAAAAAAAAAAAATTACACGTTACTACTAAAAAATCTTTGCTTTCTTTCCTGAAATGCCAGAAATTCTTCTGCAAAATAAACACATCTCATCAAGACTCTCTGGAACTAGTATAATTACCAGAGGCAATCCTGGGTAAGATCAAAGAAGCAAAACAGTAATAGGCAATGTGTGACCCCTACCATGTCACCAGAGACCAATTTTTCAACAGGAGAAGAGTCAATAATCCAGAACAGAAAACATTAAATAAGGAGAAATGCTTCCCAAGTGTGGTTACCACATCCATCAAGATTGCCACGGAGATTTCAGTCTCTGTGGTCTTAGAAAACAAACTTGTGGGCATTTATCACAACAATCATTAAAATTTGCATAGAGCACCAGAGGCAAAAAGTAACTTCCCAAATGCAGAGCAGAACTTCAAAAGAGATCGTACCGCACTCTTTCTAATTTCCACGGACTCCTCGTTAAGCTGCGCTGTGGGAAAGGCACAGACCCTGCCTGGGTATTTTGCACATGACACTCACCTCACTTCACTATTGAAGTCCCCCCTGTTTAGTTTTCCTAACATTGTTGGGAAAGATGGCCATGAACACTAACCAGGTAAACATAACTAGTGACCATACATTAAAAACTTGGATCATTTTCTTTTTGGTAATGGCGGGCTACCAAATCCAGAAACAAGGTCCCTTTGTAATGCACTTGATGAATAAAAATTGTAAGGGTGCAAAAAGGAGTAAAGAAATTCCCACCCACAGCAATAGCAATACCATGGATGTACATCTAAACTTGATCATTTGGGGCTGGGGAGATAGCTCAGTAGAACAAGCACTTGCCTGGCAAGCGCAGGGTCCTGAGTTCAATCCCCGGTACCACAAAAATAAATAAATAAATAAAAAATAAAATTGATCATTAGAAATAACTGCCAATTAGATTGTGCTTTGTAATCACCAAACTTCAATCACTTTTCTTAAATATCAGCATCAAACATCTATCTTTCAAATCGGATGTGAGTTTGGTGCCTGGATTACAGATGTGCCCGGATATGATGTCTGCATCTTGTACTATGAATAACCACTACGGAGACAACAATATGCAATGTGTTAATTATTGAAACTGTCCTACTAATCGGTTTTGAAACTGTCTCATTGCTATTTGTTCCTCAATAAAATTAAAACAAACAAACAAACAAACAGAAAACAAATGTGCCCGGAGCACCTAACCTGGGAAACAGTACTGCAGGGAAACGGCGCTGCAAGAGCACGAGGGAGCGAGGGCCGCGGCGCTGGAAGGCCCAGGGACTTCTCACTTGGTCAGCCGCCGGGGCTTCCCTCTTCTTATCTTATTAACATTGCTAATTCCATTGGTCAGTTTTGCCACAATTTCAATGCTACTTAAACAGCTGTGGGGTTTCTCTTGGCAACTATCAGTCACTACACTTAGGTTTCTAAATTAGTTGTTGAAAGGTGTTTTGACCTTGAGAAAAAAGCATGCCCTTAAGCCTCACATCTATGTATGTTTTCTTTTAACAGGAGTAATTATTCAAAAAGGACTGAAAAAAGCAGGCAGATAAATACATTTGTGGCTGTAATATTAATTTAGAAGTTGACATGAAAATGTTTAGCAAAGCCTATTAGATATTCCTCATCACGTCACTTTTTTTCTTACTATACATATTGTTCAATGTGCTTTCGCTTACACGTACATGTAGCCAGCACATAAATTAGAATATCGAAAGTACTGTTCCTTTCAATGGTTCCTTTGTTCTCACAGGTGGCTAACACCTTTCGAAAGCACCCAGTCCTGTACCTGGTCTCAGGTCCCGGCTGGAGCAAGCGCAGGTCTCACCACATTTAGATTATTTTTCCTTTCTCCATCTTTTCAAAGAGAAAAAGTTCTCATCTCACTCCCCAGCCCTAAACCTGCAGCAGGCAAGCACTCTACGACTGAGCTACCCCTCCAGCCCTGCGTTGCTTTTTTTAATTCTCTAAACTTGACGCTGACATTGATTTTTCTTCTGCTGCTGCTACAAAACAAACGAGGAATACGTTTGGGGGAGACACAAGACTCAAGATCAGTTATCAACTAACACCCCCTTCTATTAACTATTAACAACTAAATTTAAAGATCTGTAAGCCAGGACTGGGGTGTGGCTCAGGGACAGAGCTTTCACCTAGTGTGTGTGTGACTCTGTGTCCAACACGCGCGCACACACACACACACACACACACACACTTTCAGAACGCTTACATTTCACATGCTAATTATTTTCTAAATGAAAATAAATTCAAAACACAGCTTTTTAGAGTCATGGGGTCCAATAATCCTCTCCTGTGTGTGGCTGCCATCCCAGGCATGCAGAATAATATTTAAACTAATGTAGGCTTGCTCCTTCCCCTCCCCCCTGCCCCGTTTTACTCTCTGCTTCAAGGGAAGAAAATGTGATCTTTGAGCAGTGCAAACTCCTTCCCCAAGACAGCAACATTAAAATGATAAACATTTTGGGAAGCACAGTACGCTTCAAGCCCTGACTGTCCTTTCAGGCCTATATTGACTCTTCGTGTCCTTGCCAACATTTGGTAAGGATTATCCTGCCATTAGACAAAAGCGAGCATTCCTTAGATAAATCAGGAGTTTTTGCCATGAGACTCATAAAACCTTTTCACAACACAGATTTCCAAGAGAATCCTTTAAGGTTTTAGGAGGCTGCTTCTTTGACTAAGTAACAAAATACACCCTGTGGTGTCTCACTGACCCCGCTCAGCTGTCCTTTGACCTCTTCAATTGTCGGAGCCTAACTCAGGCTGCAGAATTTGCCTCCCATATCAAAAAGGCTAATGCTGCTTCCTCCTAGCACCTGGTGAAACAAAATGCAGCAGTCCCCTCTCTCTCTTCTGCCGCCTCCTCTCCCTCTCTGACTATTTTCCAGATGTTCCAGGCCCAAATGTTGAGCCAATACTGGGTTTCAGTATCTGCGTGGTCACCATGAAGGAACAAACAGGGGCCACGCCGAAGTGGCAATGACCATCTTGTTCTTTTTGGCCTCAAAAGGATACAGCAGGTCATAAAAGAGGAAAAGATCTTTGGCCTCCCTTGGAAATGCCAGGCTGTTTGAGCACATTGTAACCTCCAAAAGGAAAGCAGCCGTGGCCATCAGCCATCGTGGGTTATGTCCCTTCTGATGAACGAGGGTTGCCTGCAGCACTAACTCTAAGTTCTCAATTCTGAGCAAGCTTTTGAGTTTCTTTGACATAGAGGGAGAAAAAGCAGTATTTTTTTCCATTTCTAAATTAAAAGACTTCTAAATTAGTTAAAAAAAAAAACCCTCTCAAATTCATTATGACCTACATCGCTAGAGTGCTATGAAACACATTCAAATACACATATTTGGATTTTTTCAAAAGACAATCACCTAGAAGTCTCTCCTAAGACATCTTGAAAGATAAAATCACAACCAACAAAGGGGAATTACAAGAACCTTGCATTATTATTTTCTTAATTTAGGTATATAGGCAAATACAAAGCTTGCTGTAAGGGGAAAAACCTTTACCACTGTATAAATTTTGTTGGGAAGTAGAGAGCATGAGGAGGGAACAGGCAAACAAAGAGGAGAAGAGTGGACAGAACTAGCTACTTAACCAACCGCAAGACCAAACATAGTAGCTTTATTCACATTCTAAAAATAATTTCCTGAAACAAACTATATCCTGAAGAAAAAATGGGGAGGAGGAAGCATAGATAATTATACAATACCTTGGTTTATTTATTAACATTTTTGAATCATGTTCATGATTAAATTGGGCAGTCAACACTTCAAGGAGCCTGCTGCCTAGATTACAACTTGTCAAGGCTTTTTTGCACCTGTAAAAACATAAAAAAAAATATATATATATATATATATATATATGAGTTAATTTTCAAGTGCATTATATTTTATATTACAATAAACATCCAGTTTTATAAAAATCAGAATTAAAAATTAATGATCAAAGCCTTATGCAACTCCATACACATCATAATTGGCAAATGTACAAATATTTTTCCTTCTCAAATATTCCCCACATAACCACTAGCTATATATACTGAAAAATAATTTCTGTCATTCTTCAGTAAGAATGACACTAAGCTTATTTTCCTCACTAAGCTTACGTTTAGTGAAGGCAGTTGTTGAGTTAATATGTCTAGCCTGGGCTCTGGGGCAGCTGTTACCATGGTGGGAACAGCTCGCAGAATATTTTTGCTTTTAGTAATGAAATTATTTTTATAACTGTTTTTGAAATCAATGCTTTGTTTCTAAGAAAAAGCCTCCAATGAAAAAAGAGCTGCTATTTCCTAACCCTTGAAATATATATTCCTAAATGATGTAGTTGGTTGAAAATTATGGTGTACCCATGATTTTCTTTACTGAACTAGACTATGGTCAATACAGTCTACTGCATGGAAAAATCAGATATATAAATCAGATATATATAGATAGAGAGAATAAAACGAAATAAAAACTATTTGTCATTGATTCTTACATATAACTTAGAAGTAGTTCTAGTCTTTTGAAACTGTCTAAAAAAGAAAACAAAAGCAGATATTTCTAAGAACGTAATAATTTCAATGTTTATATTTTTAATACTAGAATACTTGAAGTGATACTAACTTACATTTTCCAAAAAGCTTGATCTTTATTTTATTTCATATTTATCCTAACTTGAGAGAAAAGGACTATTTTAGATTCTGGAACAAAAAACCTTATCTTACCTCTCTTACTGTCGAAGAATGTCTTCAGGCAAAGGAGCAATTAGAATGCAGGACCTAGACTTCCCAACTCACCTACTTCCCACCCGCACACCCACCCACAGGCAGACATCTTTTCTGAGCCAGGAGCCTGCTATCTACATCCAAACCCAAGATTACCCCGGATGGTCAGCAAGGTCAAACTGCATTACTGCCAATGAAAACTGTATGACTCCACCAGGACCATAATGATTTAATAATAATTAAAAAAAAAAAAAAGCCAGTAATCCAATTCCAAGTCTTTGGAGTCTAAAATTGCTAATTTTTGGCCACGTGCTGAACACTTCACCTGCTAGTAATGACATTTTTGTATTTTCTTCTAATTACACTCGAAGCTAAGACCTTTGGCCCTGGGCCATGGACCCTATTCAGGCTGCACACATTCTCTTAAACGACCTGATCCTTTGTTGTCACTCTTACTCTTTCATCTATTATTTACACCCATAGAGAAGAAAGATGCTCTCCCATTTGTATAGCTTAAAGCTTCTAATCATCTTAATTTCTTTACCTTTCAACCTATGGTCTTTTTCATAGGCAGATGCCAAAAAGTTTGACAAAATCATTTTTCCTCAGTTCCATTCCCTCCTGTCCCTCCCTTTCCTCACTCCGCAGCCAAGCTCCCCTCCTGCTCCTTGTCTTACGCAGGAGACTTTGCATCAGCCTGGATTTACACACTTCGACCTTCCTAAGAAAATGAACATAGTACAAATCTTAACTTGTTCTAAAGAGCAACACAGTTATGTTTCTTTCTCTGATCAAAGGGCTGGAGGTTACTTAAAATAACTTAAAATCTCCCCCAGCCTCCTTTTAAGCATAAGCATAGAATTTCAGAGTTTTCCTATAAAAATGCCACAAACCATTCAGAACACCATGAAGAGGTTAGTTATGGGGCCAAAACTTTTCAAATATCTTAACATGTACAATTGCTCTGTTGCTTACAAAAAAAAAAGAGAAGAAAAAAGAGAAAAATAAAATAGAAAAGCCCAAGGGCTCCATTTTCTATTTAATCTTTATAACATTTAAAGACCACTGTACTCATTCATCAAACAGCAAAATCCTCGTATAAGACATTCTCCATCATTGCTCTTTCTTCCCCAGACTTTTACAAAATGTCCAAACACATTCTGCAAACCTGAGCACAGAACTGTTTCCATGGTGCCGAAGTCGCCCTCAGATCACGCTAGCCACCAAAAGATTCTGATTCCCAGGATGTGTGTCAAACGACATCTGATCCATCTTTGCTCTCTCTCCCTGTACCGCTCAGCTGACTCTTGACTTCTAACAGTGTTTCCTTGTTGCTGGGCCCCTCCGCGGGCCCTGAAGCCCCTTGTCTTTCCTTATTTTCACCATTTGCTTCCACCAGCAGTTCACTGGAGACCCATCCATCTTGCACTGCCTAAAGTGACAGATGCTCCCAGGACCGACCACGCTGCTGAGTGAACAAAAGATAACATCACCTCCAGGAACTCCAGAGAGAATACGACTGCAACCTTAGGACAGGGGCTGACTCGACAGACATTGGGCCATAAAGCTCTTCTAAGTGAAAAAGAAAACAATTGCCACACACACACACACAAATCTGACACAATCAAAGGCAGAGAAGAGTGATTATTTGTGGATTGCTTTTTCACTCTGTAACTCACTTTTCTCCCCAAAGCTTTTATATGGGGCAATTAGCTGGCCAAGAGGCAAAAGAAGTTCTTGGGAAAAGAACCCTCTCTCGAGTATCTTCTTTTTTTCTTCAATATTCAAAGTGAAATTCATTCACATGTGTGGTTCAGGAAATCTGAGGCTTTGGTTCAGCTTTCTTCATCCTGAGCCTTGTTTGCATAAAGCAGGGCCTGGACTCAGACATGCTGACTCAGTTCTACTGCAGTGAAAGGCTCACGCATGCTTTGCAAATTAAAAACACATTAGAAATATAAAAAGCAGCATGTGACACAATGTCAACAATATGTGTAGCTCATATAAAAAAAAAAATAGCTTGCCATTCATTCATTCATCAGCCAGCCTCCAAGTTGGGCTAAAAGGACAGTTAACAAGAGGATTCTGGGAAGGACTGCAGATCTCTCCTAACAAAGGCAGGGTCACATGAACATCTCCCGGCCACAAGCGAAGGACAGAGGAAGCGACAGACAGGGACCGCCTGAAGCCCTCTAGGGCTGGGGGTTTTGCTATTATTTAAAGTGTTTTATTTAAAATCATCATAAAACAATAGGAAATATACAGCCCTCTAGCACTTACAAAAGCATGAAGGGAAAAGTCTGGACACCATAGAAGCAAAACACTAGCCTGGAGGTCAATTAAGAACGCCGCATGATCAATGTTAATTATAGAGATTAACAGCCCATTTTTGCAGTGGACACCAAGCAACACAGAGGAAAACCTCTGCTATCGCAAAACACAGTATCATTCTCAAAAATGGCAAATAATGCAAATATATGTTACCTCTAGGGACAAACTAATCAAGAAAAGCCCACTGTCATTGGAAAGAAGAAATGTGAGCTTTTCTAATGGCATTTGTTTCGTAAAAATATTCTATTTTCTTCTTTAAAAGTTTGTACCCAGAGTCTTTAAGTTATGTTATACTAATTTTTCTTTGGAATAAGTAATGACACTTCTCAGCTCCATTTCCAAAAAAAAATTTTTTTAAATTAAATAAATAAATAAATTTGAAAAATACTTTGTCTCTTGTGTTTGAATTTTTTGAGAGTAAAACATTTTCAACCTGATAAATCAACATGTCCTGCATTTAAACATCTTTTTATGTTTATGTCCCCCGTATTTCCTCCTACACGTCAGCACACCTCTACAAATAAGATACTACAATATTTCACAAGTTGGGGATATTATGGCTTCTGTTTTTGTTTTTGGCTGCCAAAGCAGTGTGAACACCAGGTAATTAAGTGAATAGGTACGATTATAGAACTCAATGGGGAAGGATTAAATAATTATACAGTGTGTGTACCATTTTGTCAAAGACTTGTTCTAGAATGGATTTGATCTTTACCTAGAAGACTTTGCTTAACACACTGTGGCCCCCAAAAGTCCTCTCACAGTGACCGACTGTGGCACCCCTCGCGCGAGAGACGTGACCTTGAGATGAGGCCTCCGGGCAGAAGGCTCAAGAAAGGTCCGATTGAATTATCTGCTTTTAAACACAATAGAACCAATATGCATGCAGCAAAAAAGTACACCCCTGTAGAAAGTCCTTCTGGCTTGACTGATCAAAAACAAAACAAAACTTTCCTTTTTAAAGGCCCCTTCCAGGTCCATCAGTGCCAGAGCTCCGCACAGGAAAAAGATCCATCAAAATGGAACCCTAAAAGGGTCCACCCTTCACCAACCTATTTGCACTTCAAAACCCTGCAAGTCCTTCAGTTAAACCCCAGGGCTGAACCATTTCAGTAATAACAGAGGGGGCCAGAGGGGATTTATCTCTGTATGCTTCTGGACAGGGTTGTCTAGGAAGCTTCCCTGCCCGGACTCGTCCCTCCCCCAGGTCCCCACCTCGGTTCCTACAGCCTGGGGTCTGCAATCCTCACAAACAGCTCCGAGGCCCCTTCCAGTCAGACACAGGAGCCGTCTGTGACTCAAGATTTGGGCAAATTGTCCTGGCAGTGATTTAGCAAAATGGAAAGCTGCTGAGTAATCAGAGCATGGCGAACACCAGGTTGAACCGCACGCTCTCTTTGTCATAAACTGGGGAAGAAGAGAGACTTCTTCGCCGCAGCCTCTTCTCACACGTGTTTATTGTTATCTGAACTTCTTAAACTTTTCCTGTCCCATACCCTGACAGGTGCTCCCTCTGTGCCACATCGGCCAACTTTCTGCAACGTGGGGCATTTGTCTGAATTTAAATTCTTGCATCGTAAGATATTTTCAAAAATACAAAAACCTAGAGATTTCACAGGTCACAGATACCTGGGTCAAAAAGACCTAAAAACATATTAATAGACCACTGTAATTCAACTGATTTATTCTACCCTTTTTATCAAATATGCATAATTATGGTCTGCTAGTAAAAGAAACACTGAATAATGTTAAGTTATTTAAATGAGGCCCCAAAGTCATCA